CCCCGTCTCTCTGCAAAACGACCCAACACTCAGAGCCTTCCCACAGGCTGTTTCTGCTCTGCTGCCTCCCCCAGGACGCTCCTCGGTCTCTGTAGGCTGCACCCCAAAAGTTAAAGCTGTAGTTCTGCGGTGCACACGAGGGCCAGATACACCCCGAGAGCCAGTGCGGGGAAGTGAAGGGTGGAGGCAGCCAACAGTCTTCTGACAGCCTAACGGGAAGATGGAGCAGCCCTGCGGCAGGTAGAAAGCTGCACGGCCACTGTTCAAAGCACCCTCGCTCCCATTTCCTCCCTGCCTCTCAGGCTGATGACTATTTACTGCCGTTATTCTTATTAACGAATGGTGACAGGGCTTCATTTTATAACCTGCCTACCTCGCTTCAGCACCACCACACCCTGTGGGTTAAAACACCCGCTCTCTTCACATTTGGAGAAACTGAGGCGGAGCGCGATGACAGAGAATGGAGCTTTGGAGGCAAAGCCAGAAACAGACTCTTATCTCACGGCTTCAAGCCCCCCAACCTTTCCCTGTCGGTAAGGAGAAAGTGTAGGCCCCTCGCGCTGTCCTAGGGAAACTTTGGAAGAAGGAAAGCTAACAGTCCTTTAGATGTGCTCAAGGTCTTTCAAGGAGGCAAGATCAAAGCAAAAAATATTTGCATGGTCCTCTGTGGATTCAAAGAGCCTTCATGGATACTTCCTATTGGATCTTCATAACCATACTAGCTAGAAATTATACTTGTCCCATTTAAGAACCAGGGAAGTAATGGGGGCACCAAATAACATTTCTGCTCAGGGTTCACGAAGGAGCCAGGATTGAAGCTGCTGTGAGCCCCTGTTCCTAGTTCGGGTCTTTGGCCCCCGGGAGGAGGTGGAGGGTGGGCGGTGGAGGAGGTCTGCAGTGGCCTGGGCGTTGAGCCTGGAGGCATGGCTTACTGTTGGTCCCAGATGATGAGGTGGAAGAAGAACTTGCAGAAGTGAGCCTTTCGGGTCTGCAGGGGGCTGCACAGCTCCTTACCGCCATGGCTGAGGGAGCAGGAGAGGTAGAACTCTTCGTAGCTGCCACACAAAGGAGCAGGTCAGGACACACAACAGCCACATCTGATCATGGCCACCCAACCAGGCATCCCCACTTGTGCTGGGACAACTCTGCCTCTGGGGACCAGGGTGGGATGTGGGGTCAGGGGCCGGGACCAGGAAGCTGGACTTATGGAAGCGGTTCTGAAAGCAGCAGCTCATCTGGAATCCTCCATCCAGTGCAGGGCCCCTGGGGCCTGGTGGATTTTCTTCCTTACTGGACATTGGTCTTCTGGTCTCTCCTCTCAGACCCAGGCCAACCTCTGTGTGTGTGTGTGGGGGGGGTGCACATGTGGCCAGTGTGTGCCTGTATCTACATGTATGTGCTCTGTGCATGTGTGTTCTGTCTGTGTGCATGCCTGCGTGTTTGTGTGTGCATGTGTGTTCTCTATGTGCGCGTGCCTGTGCATGTTCAGTATGCGTGTACTTTGCATGCGTGTGTATGTGTACTTATGCACTTGCATGTGATTACTGGCAGGCAAGGAGGGTAGGGGAGTTAAACGACATATGCTGACATGAATGCCAACACACGGGGGTCCCTGTGGCTTGTGACAGGTGCCTGACAGAAGAGGTCAGAAAAGGCCCTGGGTTCCCAGGCTGCCCGCTTTGTTCTGTGCCAATGGCCCAGAGGAATGCATTAAGTGAGGAACAAAGGGAGAGGGGGAGGGAGAAGGAAGGGCAGGGGGTGGGACCCATTGCCTATTCCCCCAGGCCTTGATGCTGGGGGGGATCCAGCAGGAGCCAGGATTACCAAGTGAACCTCCTGCCTCCACCCACCCCTCCAGGCCGGGGGGAGCCCCAGACAAAGGGTCATGCCCACCCCCTGTCCTCTCCCATTGTGCGTCCACAGGGGAGTGTAGTCATTGGCCGAGGGGCATGCACTCTATCTGAGAACCGGCCATCTGTCGCCATGACTCCATCAGGATCCAGAGGGGGGTGGGATGCTGATGCAGCCTCTCCAAGAGAAAGCATCGAGGCCCTTCCCCTCCCACTCTGGGAGGGCCCAGCCCAGAGCCCCCTCAGGTGCCTATCACCCCAGCCCCACACTTCAGCAAGGTCACACCACAGTGCTGCACACAGGTGGTCCAGAATGGCTGGCGGCTCAGGCAGACAGCAGCAGTGGTCACTCAGCCTGGACTCACCTGGTGGCCCAGGTGATGGGGATGCGGTGAGTGGCATAGACCGTGAAGGCCAGGGGCCCGGGGAAGTGGCAGGCCTCCTGAACCAGGTCGTGCTTGCGGCTGCCATGGACGGCCGTCTGGAAGTCCGCGTTGAAGGTGCCGCAGTATAGCTCCACCAGGTCCAGGATGGCGGCCGTCAGGGCTTCCACGGCTTTCTCTGTGAGGGCGGGCACCGGGCCTCAGCAAAGCCTGAAGCCTGGCATGACTGCCCAGGACCCCGCTCACCCCTAGGGGCTGGCCCCCCACCTCAGGAGCCTGCCCCCAGGCTCTGCACAGCTGCAGCCCTGCGTGGAAGCTGACCGCCTCAGAGCAGCTGGTCCGTTCCAACCGTCAGCTTCTCGCTGGGCACTGAATGCTTCAACCACCAGGCCCCTTGACTCCTTAGCCACCAGGGCTCCCCAACGCCAATCTGATTCTAATACACATGGCAAAGCTCACCCCTCTCCGGGGACAGGAGGAAAACGCCAGCCGGAGGGCATGATGAGTTTTTCATAAAGTGACAGCTCATCGCTTTTAAACATTGTCCTCACTTCTTGTGCTGATGGTAGCTTAGTGCTACAATGTCCTTCATCCCAGGAAAGGGCAGTGTGTGTGCCAGTCAGTGCGCGGTGAAATAAAAAGCAGGCCATTCTATGATAGGTCCCTCTAATAACCTTGGGAATATTTTATTGGTCTCTAAAATCCCAAAGATGGGGGACTTGTGGTCCACACGCATCGCAGAGTGATGGGCCCTGCAGAGCAATGCTGCCCCTTGGGAGATTCAGCAAGGGAAATCCCAGTGACGGGCTTTCCACCCTCTCCCAGGGCCCATTTCGGAATTGGAAACCCAGGTGTGACAAGGCACCTGGAGAGTAGTCACTGCTTCCCAAGTGGGAGCTTTCCCTTTGGCTGCCTATGCTCCCCACCCCACCCCTCCACCTCCTCGCCATCCCCCAGGGACACCGAGAGGAATAACTAGGAAAGATGACGAGAGAACGCTTGATGGAAAGAAATAGGCTCCCCAGCTGTGCTCACACGTCATGTAGGAAAACACACACACACACACACACACATGCACAGGCAGGCTCAGCCATAGAAATCTAGGGGCAGGGGGGCAAAGGAACACCTGGGTACACACCACAATGTCAGCCACCCCCCATGGACAGATGCAGAGCCTTGGCCTCACCTCGGTTCTCCCTCACAGCCAAGACACTGGGGTCCTGTTGGGGAAACAGGGGGAGAGGGGAGCCTCAGGGCCTGGCCTTGCCTGCCCTGGCTGGAAGAAGGGCTGTTGACAGCTTCGCTCATCTGCACCAGGCGAGGCGCTGAGAGCCCCCAGGGAGGATGGAGTCATGGTTTGTGGGGCGGACACCAGAGTCAGACTTGGGATAAGATCACGGTGTCCGCCCAGAGGAAGCAGCCCCGGCTCAGCTGCTCTGCTGCAGACCGGGACTTGGGGGTGCTGCCCGCAGGGCACAGCACCACCCTGTGCAGTCACACCTCCATCCCTACCCACAAGGAGGCAGGAGGAGAGGCTGGCTCTGCGGGTCTTCTTCCTCCTTGGTCTTGTGTCCTGATGGGCAGACACACAGCCAGGCAGTGCCGCGGGGCTGTGAATGCAGCCTGTGCTAACCAGAACCACTCCTGGCCGGCTGGCCTTGGGGCAGACCCCAACCCGCCCCTGTGCTCTGAAAGAGGGGGGCTCCCTTGGCATTCATTTGCTAAGAACTCAGATGAAGAAACTACTGATGCCTACAGGATCGATGGGGGAAGAGATGGAGGCATTTTTATCAATGGACATCAAATAGGAGGATTCCTTAACCTGGGGCTGCCCCCTCCCCTCCTTCCCACCCCAGTGCCAGAGCCCCATTCACCTTCTGAACTTTAGGCTGCATGCGAGAGGGGCAGGGGGGCAGCTGGTTGAGGGCGTTGGTGATCTCCGGGGTCTCCACGGCCGCGAGGGCATTGCAGATGGCCTTGACGGACTGGACCAGCCTGTTGGCCTTCAGTGGGAAGTCCCCCTGAGGAGGGAGCATGTGAGGCATCCACCCCTCCCCCGCCCCACCCCAAAGGCCTGGCTCAATGGCTGAAAGGAGTAGGGCCTCACAAGCATCTAGTGGCATCCCTAAGCCTCGCTCACTCAGTTTAAATGGACCAGCCACATGCCCCAACTCTCCCTTCGGCTATTTATCTCCCTGCCACCGCCACTACCCTGTCTTCTCATCTCTGGCTCCCACCTACTGGTGGCAAGATGGCAAGGGGCCACGGAGACCCTATTTCTCATAAAGTTCACCAGAGAATTCCCAGACGAACCGCAGCTCAGTGCCACACCCATGCGCTGCCTTCTGCACTTTTGCTCCCAAGTCTTCACAGTTGTCCTAGCCTACCTCTTCCACAAAAGCCTCCCCGGAATGCTTTAAGCCAAACCCGCTGACGTCGACTCAATTCCGACTCCCAGCACTAGGACCGAGCAGGGTTTCCCCAGGCTGTAAATCTTCACAGGAGTGACAGCCTCACCTTGCTCTTGCAGTGCGGCCGGCGGCCTTGAGCTGCTGACCTTTCAGTGAGCAGCTGGGCCCTTAACCGCTGTGCCACCAGAGTGCAAACTCTGCATGCGTGTGCCCTAGACAACCCCCTTCCCAGTCGCTATCCCCGAGCCCTTGATGAACCAACTGACTAAAGTCACAAGACCCATGACCACAGACATATGGCTCAATGACACCACGCCAAATGCTGACTCACAGCGACAGGACACAGTACAACTGCCGCTCTAGGTTTCTGAGATTATAACTCTTTACAGGAGAAGGAAGCTCTGTCTTACTCCCTTGGGTTGACTGGTAGTTTCAAACTGCTGACCTTGTAGTTAGCAGCCCAAAGAGTAGCCGCTTTGCCACCAGGGCTCCTTATCAAGAAGACAGGGATTGTTTTTTGACCATCACGGTCTGAGTCTCTTTCGCACACAGACATAGGGGACAGCTGTTTCCCAGAGTCATTAAGGCTCGAGGGGAGAGGGATCTTCTTGGGAGCTGTGCCACTTGCTCCAAGTGGCGAGACACCTGCCCCTCCTGCATTAGGGAGCGCCACCTCCTGAAGATGTGACACCAGCACACCCCTGGGAACTCGGAGCTGCTGGCACTGTGCAGGGGATGTCCACTCCAAGGCACATTCAAGTACAGCAGCCTGGCAGACAGCAGTGTGTCCCTAGGTTGAGGGACATCTAACTCCCGAGATGGGGATCAGGGCTCAGCTCCTGACCTACTTGAACAGAGGAGCAGAGCTTCTTCCTACCCACTGGCCAGTAGCCCAGCAGCTGGCGGTCATGGTTAGCCCACGAGCGTGCTCAGCTGCACACAGCTCAGTCCCGAGCCCAGACCCTGTGCCGTGCTGGCTGGGCCCAGGAGCGCTGGGGGAGAGAAGGGCGGCACTGTTGCCAGCTGGGCCGGCTCCATGGTTTGTACTCACATCCCCCAGAAGGAAGACATCCACTTCATTGTGGTAAGTGTCGAGCAGAAGACTCAGGGCCTGCCTGGGAGTTGGGGGCAGGAGAGGAGGGAAATCATCGGAGAGGTCAGGAAAGAGCGGGGACAATGGAGGACCCATCTCCTCCCCACCCCCACCCCCGGGCCCCGCCATCAGCTCAGGAATCAGACTAGGGTTGGAAGAGGTTCCCATCTTTCCACACGTCCCATAGAGGCCAAACGCAGGAGAGTCCTTCCTCCTTCACCACCTCCAGTCTGGAGAACGTGACTCAAACGAGAAGCAGGAGATGGACCATTCACAGAAGTGTGTGGGGGTGGGGGTCCCTGACAAAGCTTTTGGGCTCCACCTCTGACCCCTGCAAGAATCTCTGCCTCTCTGGTAGGAGTCAGGCAAGGGTCCCATTAGGAGGCCCTCCCGGTTCCTCATTGGAACATTCCCAAGGTGGCACCGCCGCTCACCTGCTGATGGTCTGTTTCACGGGTCTTTCTTGCAGGTGGACGAGGTAGTTCAAGGTGGAAGGGCTCTGGTCATCATTCACCTATAGAAGAAGAACCCTTGTCACGAGACGGGGGATGCCCTTCCCTCAGCTCAGCGCTCTTACCCAACTCCCGCTAGTCACCATGCCCCTCACCACCGGCTCTGCCCCTCCACAGCCGGCCGGGTTCCATGGCATCAGCCTCCCCCAGACAAACCGTGCGGGCCAGGTCCTTGCGTACGGCCTTCCGCTCCATCAGCTGGAGCCGGATGTCCACGTCAAACTTCCGGCAGTACTGGATGTACTCGTGGCTGCCCAGGGCATGCTTGCTGGAGGGGAGAGGAGGGACAAGACCACTAGCATCGGGGACTCCTGGGGAGGGAGACGCGTGCCCTGGGGGAGAGAGAAGCAGGACCAGGGTGGGGGTGAGAGGCTATGACCCGTGTTCTGTGTTCTGGAACCCGTCTTGGCGAGCTTAGAGGAAGGAGTACAGAGAGGTGTGTCTTGACACAAGGCGCCTAAGATGCTTCACCCTGGGTGTGTACAAATCCCGACTCTCCTCAGGGGCCATCACCAACATGGCTGCTGCAGTGGACGCCAGTGGGGGAGCTGCTGGCCAGAGTGGGGAACAGGGGGATTCTCAATGGGAAGCCATTCTCTGGGCATCGGTATAGAAACTACCTCAGCGACTGACACCCTGTCTCCACGGTGGTGCTAAGTATCCCCCTGGTAGAGGCCAAACAAAACTCTATCACATGGATGCCAAGCTCACAGGGTTCTACTTCTGGTCCCCGATGGTGGACACCCCCAGAAGTCTCTCCAGGCTTCCCAAGGAATACCCACCTACATGCTTTCCCACGGTGCCAAGGCCCACAAAAGCGGAGGGCGGCCCTTCTGCAGCTCACTCCCCTCAGTCAGAGAGGAAAGGGCGTGAGGCTCCCCTCTGAGCCAGCAGGGCAGCTGGCTGGGTCCTAATAGCTGGGTAACAGAAGCCGGAAAGGGACTTCCTTCCTCAGGAGAGCTGGGACTCTAGGCCAGCTATGGGAGGGCGTGGAGGGGAGCAGAGGGGATGGGGATGGGGATGTGGTGATGAGGATGCTAGAGTCCAAGGCCAGTCCAAGGCCAGTCCAGCTCCCCTGAAGACCTAGTGGGCCTCTCTACATCCTCATGGGGTCCAGAGCCCCGTCCTGACCCCAAACAGCTAAGATTGAACTGGAGGCCAAGCCTGTGGGTGGAGAAGCTGGGCTGTGGCGTCTCTCCACAGGAGGGTGCTGAGAGGAAGGAAGAGTGTGGTAGGGGTGGGGGAGGTGGCAGGAAACCCAACCCTCCCCAGGGGCTATCTCAGGACTTATCAGGGAGCAGTCAACACCTGGGCCTGAGCTTCCTCCTCAGTATCAGCCCCTCCTATTGGACACCTAAGGAGACCAGAGGCCTCCCCGGGAGCCACCCCAGGGTCCTTTCTACCCCACCACCCTGGTCCCCAGGGCAGTTGTCAGGAACCCAAGCCAAAGCCATCCAGCTGCCATGGGGTCAGTTTCCACTCAAGGGGCTGATTGATGCCTAGGCCTGTCTTCCTGGGTGCCTCCGGGTGGGTGCTACCATAAGCATAAACCGTCTGCGTCACTCAGGGGCTCTGGGCCGGGAACCCGAGCTGGGCTTTTCTGGAATGGGAGGGAGTAGGAAAGGCTCCGAAGAGGGGAGGGTCCTCCATCTGGGAGTCAGGGGCACAGGTCCCCAGGGGGCTTGCTCAACCTTGTCTGAGAAAACCTTTCCCTGTGTGCACCCAGGTGAGAGGAGAGGGAGGCATGGGCATAGCCAAGGACCACCTCCACCTGGTCTCCGCAGGGAGTCCCGCACCTGGCAGGTTGACCACCAGCTGACTCTGCTCCAAGAATGGGGAGCAATCTCTAGTGGCCCTTTCCTGCTGATGTTTACGAGTGGCTCTCTGGGTCCTTCCCGCATGGAATCCTCACTCCCTTCCACAGACTGTCAAGGTTCCACATGGAAATGTGTGTGGCAAGCCAAGACTTAAGCCAGCCATTGTCTGGGTGCAGCCCAGAGCTCACAAGTGCCCCTGGAGCAGTGCGGCCTGCCTGGGCTCTCTCTGCCAGGGCACCCTGCACGAGGGCCCCTCCTGTCTGCAGGTGAGCACAACCCAGACCCATCAAACTATTTTGCAGCCCAGGGTGCAGACACCTGAAAATCTCACTGCCATTGAGTCAACCTGTCTCCGTGACCCTAGGACGGAGGAGAACTGGCCCTGTGAGCAGGAAGCCTCGTCTCTCCTGAGGGGTGGCTGGTGCTTTCAGACTGCTGGTCACCCACTGAACCACTCATGTCATCCCTAAAGCTGAAGACGTTAGCCAAGGTAGGAATCTTCAATCATGACTGCCAGCCCTGTGCCAAGGACAAAGATCAACCCCCTTTGTGCCCAGTCTAGAAATTAGAGAGAAAGCGAGGGGTCTCATGGATGGGTGCTTGGAAGAAGGGAGGTCCAGGCTGCTGCCCCACCCCACCCTGTCCGACACCCCAGGTCTGCTCGCTCTAAGTCACAGGTGGTAGGTAGGTCATTGCCAGTCTGCAGTTTGGGGGAGGAAAGCTGCCCTCCTGCTGTGTCACCTGAGTGTGTGTGTGTGTGTGTGTGTGTGTGTGTGTGTGTGTGTCTGTGTGGTGGGTGGGGGGATTCACTGCCTCTCCTGCTTTCCCTTCGCGGGGCACTGCATGGACCAGGAGAGTGAAAGGGGATCCCCTAAGCCAGCCCACATCAGACTGTAGAGGGAGGCTGCCTTCTGCAGAGAGCATGGGATGAGGGCAAGGCTGCCCGCGTCTGCCCGGAGCAGAGAGCGTGGGGTTATTGGCACGAGGGAGGCGGCCAGAGCAAACTGTCATTGCTTCCCTCAGCTCCCCAAAGGGCACCTTGCCTCGTCCTTCTTCCACCCCAGCCGGGGTGATGCCGCTGCTCACCTAGAGCAGGGCACAGCAAGGTTAATTCTCATGCACACTCAGGAAGCTGGAAGAGGATGGGACCCCCGTCTCTGCCTAATCCCCACCCCACACACCTTCCACAATAGACTAGGCAAGGGTTCAACCCTGCAGGGAAAGGCAGAACTCCTCGGGGGCAAAGTGTGATCAGGCTATGAGCGTGCCCAGAAGGCAGGGAATCAGACGGTGGGGCCAAGCTCAGCACCAGCGCCCCCACCCCATCTCGACCCTCCTCACAACCCCTCTGGCCCTGCTCAGCCCCCCAAGAGCACTGACTTCTGCAGGAACTCCTCCCGCCCACAGGGCTTCAGCAGGAAGTCACCGACATCCACATCCCTCAGCTCGTCCTGGGTGTAGCACAGGGTCTGGTAGATGAGGAGGTCCACCGTGGAGGAACCTGGAAGAGGAGTGGGGACATGATGATAGGTGTGGGTGGGGGTTAGCTTCCCACCTGGATACCTGCCCCACACCATGCCTGCCCCATTCCAGCACCGTCTTCAGCATTAGGAAGAGCAGATGAAACAGGCAAATGATTTGGGGTTATGGGGTGGGGTGGGGGGGCGGGTAACTGGGGACTTGAAAAACTGGCCCTTGAACCAATCTCTCAAAGAAGCTTCCCCAGTGCCCTGACCAGGGCCAGGAGGACCCTGCTGCTCAGAGCACCCCCCACCCCACCCCCATCCCACCTCAAGGGAGGCTCAATCAAGGAGCTTACAGTTGCAGGTAAATGTGAGCGGCTCCCGCAGGCTGTCATACAACACGGTCACCTTCAGGTTGACCTCATCTCCCAGGTGCTCTGGGCTGGGGGTGACGGTGCTCCAGACGTACCCAGTGAGGGAATCCTCCCGGATGTCAGCGGCAGACCGGAGGCTGTGCAGGGAGAGAGGGAGCGGGCCCCTGGCTGTGCCTTCCAGAGAGCGGGAAGTGTTTCCCGGACATCTGCTACAATTGCAACGCGCTTCTTCAGGAGTGGAGTGGAACAGGGAGGCTAGCTCTACAGGGGCACGTTGATCAGAGGCGTTGCGGGGTCCAGGGCACATTTCTCTTTGGACTCCAGAACATAGGTCTAGCTCCGCTGGACTCCACTTGCAACAGAGAGCCAGAGCCTACAGCGGGGTAGGTAACTGGACTGTGCAGAGTAAGTTTCCTGGATTTTTCTAGAAATACCAGACTGCTAGTAATCTCAAGATGCCCATAGCCCTCTGCTGGGAGTAACAGCCCACAGCTCTGAGCGGGGATTCCTTAAATATGGCTCTCCTCCCTTCCTGGAGAAGGTTCTGAAACGTGTGGGCCTCCTCCCACCCACGCCACCCTCCCGCATCCCTGGTGGTCCCCTGTGCAATGCTTACACATCCAGCATGTGGCAAAAGGCAGCGACTTCCTCGTCTCTCTCCTCCGAGACCTCAAACAACTCGTGTCCCTTGGCGATGGTGCGGGGCCGCGAGCCCACCTTTGGGGGAGGACAGCTGGCTCAGTGCCCTTCTCCTCCAGGCGTCCTCTCCCCAGGAGGGGAGACTCCCAACTCCAAGCTCTTAAGGGTGCAAGGGCTGCCTAGCCCCCCAACCAGGTGTGAAGGCAGTGTACAAAAACCAGAATGTGTATCTGTGGTCCAAGACAGAGGTATGTTTGGAGACCCTGAGCCAAGCTGAACAGCGGGAGGAGAAGCTCTGCCTGAGGCCAGGCGCCTGGGTGACATGGCCAAGCCTGTGGCCCAGCTCTTTTCCAGAGGGGACAAGCCTGAGAAACTCACCCCCACCCCCCACCCCCGCAAGGCTGGCAGGGCACAGGCCCACTGGAGGGCTTTCTGGGGGACGCTCCTAGGGGCTGGCCGAGCCCTAGCCAGGCAATCCTGTCTCCTGTCCCACCACTGAGGGGAAGGAAGGGACCTGCCCAAGTCGTCCCCAGGGAAGCTTACCCCTAGACCAACTCCTGAACACCCACCACAAGCTCAGTGATGCACAGCAGGGCACCCCAGGGCCCTTCTCGGGGCGGGAGGGGATGACTCAGGCGCACGCCTCTTCTCGCAGAATGCTATTTGAGAAAGAAAGCGCCCAAGCGGCTGCCTGGCCAGGAGAGTACTGAGGACAGTTTCTGAATGACTGGAATGGCAGGGAGCCAGCCGGCCCACTTCCTCTCTGGGAACATGCGTGTGGTAATGGCACCAGGGGTCTCAAGACAGGACGCCTAGGGCTCCCACCCAGAGATCTTTTCAGTCGCCCCCGGAGGGCCCAAGGAAGCCCTCAAACAAGACGTGCAGCCCAGCCCTGGGCAGGAGGAAGCAGACCTGGGAGCTGGTGCGTGACAAGTTTCTGTCCATGCAGTCCCGGCCTGCATCCGGCACATGCAGCCAGCCGGTCCCATTGCTGCTCTCAGCAGACCCCTCACAGCCACACCTCACCTGCACCCCCCCCTGCTGCCTCCCCCTCCTCCCCCCTCCCGAGATGGTGGTGGTGGCACAGCTCCTCATTTGAGCATCCAGGTGCTGCCTCGAGGTGCCCCCTTCCCCAGCCGGCCTGCTCCCCTACGTGCAGATGGGGGTGGCGAGAGAGGAGGGTGGCAGTGGGCACAGTTGGCATGTGAGGCCCTGGCTCTGCCAAGTTCATGCCTGTGTCCCAGCCAAAACAATAGTCCTATTGTCAGCATGAAACCCACACAAAGGAGAGAAAGAGAAAGAGAAGGGACAGGGGTGGGGGGAAACAGAGTGGCCACTGAAGGCCACTTCCACGCCCTTTCAGTACCACGCACTGGCACTGTAAGAAAACAAAAGCCACTTACGTTTGCCCGCCTGGCAGGCCTTGGTGGCATCGCCCGGTGCTGGCTGGGGGGGTCTGCCAGGCAGAGGCTGGCATCAGGGGTACTGGGCTGGCACTTGGAGCCAGCCAGCCCCAGAGCTGGCTGGGCAGGCCCAGGATAAAGAAGGTCCTTCTGGTTGGAAGCCCGGCGAAGGCGGGGTGGTGGTGTGGGCCGAGGGTCCAAAGGGGGCCCTGTCCTAGCGAGCTGAGCCCATGCACCCAGCTGAGGTGGAGAGGCCCTAGGCTGCATTTGCCCCCAGGAGCGGGCCAGAGCTTCGCTGGACCAGAGCTTCTTCAAGGGGACTCTGAGAGGAGCTCCTCTGGGTTCCCTGGTGACTGACACACAGGGCTGGGGGAGGGTGCAGAGCAGGGACAGCGGGAGACAGGGAGGGACAGAGGTGACTACCTACTGCAGTGGCCTGACCCGGTGAGTAGGCCCGGACTCTGAGCTGGAACAGGACTCTCCCAGCCCCTATAAATAGCAGGCACAGGCCCCCGCCCCCAGCCGGGCTTTTAAAAAGCTCTGAGCTCCAAGTGTGGGGCTGATCCCAGGAGCTGGCTCTGTTTGGGGGGGACTCTCTTAGTAGAAGCAAAGGGAGGAAGGACTGTGAGGCTCTTTCCAGAGAGCCAGGAAGAATCCCAAGGTGGACATGAGGTGGGAAAGTCCCGGTGACCCTCGGACAATGGATGTGGAGGAAACAGGGATGGAGCTGACTGGAACTATAGGCTGCTACAGAAATCACCAACCACGGAGGGGCCGCTTGAGGCCTCTCCAGGTCAGGGTTTCCAGGGGCGCAGGGTGATCCCTGAGCCCAGGGACATGCTGCTGTTTCTTGTTGTAAAAGAAAACCAGCTCTTGGCGGCAGGTACCACGCTGTCGTGGACTATGGGTGTCCTGAGGCAAGCGAGGTACACAGCATGCTTCCTTTCCGTGTGAGGAGAGGGTGGACTTTAGAACAAGCCAGGAGAGAGCTGAATGCTGGCCCTGCCACGTCCTGCCCCGGGGCTCTGGGCAAGTCACTGGGTCACTGTGACAGTGGCTCCCAGGCAGTGATGTTGGGCTCTGCAGTGGGGTCTGGGATTCAGTGAGCACCGCGCAGGGTGGACAGGGAGGCTGATGCTCACTGCCACACCTGTCTAGGGGCAGAGCCGGGGCTCGGAAACGGGAAGCAGCTTGCTCAAGACCACTTAGCCACAGCGTCAGTGACCACGTCCAGAGGAAAGGGGTATAGGAAGGGGGAGAAGAATTAGGGTTTCAATTCCCAGCAGAGCCCTTGAGATCAAGAGACATTGAACTTGGCTCTGACTAGGGTCATGTCCCTTTCCTTGGCTTAACCTGGGCCTTTCTTCCAGGGCCCAAGTCCCAGTGGCAGAAGAAGTCCACTCTCCCCCTCAAAACCCATTGCCCTGGAGTCAGCTGAGAGTAACCCTGCACCCTAGGTTTCTAAGCCTGTAATCTCTACAGGGGCACACTGCTCTGTTTTCCATGGGGCTGCTGGGGGATTCAAACTGCTGACCTTCCGGTTAGCATCCAAGTACGTTACCACCAAGCCACCAGGACTCCTTGGCAGAAGGAAGAAGAGAGGACTAGAGGTGTGGGTGTTTAGTGGAAGCGGGTTGGGACCAGCAAAGGAGGAGGAACGAGGCCTCACCACAGGCACAGAAGCAGCACAAGAAGGGCCTCACCGGAGCAGCGGAGATCCTGCGGCTCTTGCCAGGCCCCGAGTTCTTTCGGTTGGCGTAGCGGGAGGCATAGTTGCGAGGGGGCACCTGAGGGGGCATAGTCTTGCTCCGGGCTACTGGTTTTCCCGGGGTGTCCTTGCTAAAGTCCAGGGTCCCTCGGCCCTCCTTCCAGCCCCGGGTGGCATCCTGCAGCATCTCTGCATCGTAAGTCGACTTCAAGTTGAGTCTCGTGATGGCATCGTTGATACCATCGTAGTCCACGGACCCCAGCAGGCACCCCTGACCCCCGCCTCCCGGCCCTTCTTCCTCCTCTAGGATCTGACGGCCTAGTGATTTGCCTGAGGGTTGTTTCACCAAAGAAAACGAGTTGATGTCATTGGGCTGGGTCATCTTGGAGGATGAAGGGGACCCCTTCCTAGGAGGCAGAGGAGGGGCGTCCCAGATAGAGACTCGAGGAGGCAGGGGCGGTGGAGACAGTTTCTTAGAAGAGTCATCGGCATCCCCTGGTCCTGGGGACACAGAGAGCTCCCCATCTGAACCAGTGAAGATATAGAGATAGTCTCCAGACAGGGAGTCTTTGGGCCAAGGGTCTGGGCCAGCCTGGGAGTTCTGGGAGGTAGAGTGGTTGGGCGGCCCTTCCTGTGGGGAGAGCGAGTTGTAATTGAGGGTAGGATCAGAGCCAGAGAGACCGCGTAGGAGCTTGAGGTCGTTCCGCCTGCCCGCTGGCTTGTGGTAGAAGTCGAGGACAGGCTCGTCCCAGCTGATAAGAGCGGGGTCGGCATTCTGCTTGGTTCTGTTCTCCTCCTTGTCGTGCCGGAGGCGGGACAGCGCGTCATACTCCATCTGCAGCGCTTCGGCCATCGCCAGCTCCTTGCGGCTAATGCCCACCGACTCCAGGGACTTCCAGTGTTCCCCATTGCCCTGCGTCGAAGACATGGTGAGAATGGAGGGTGGAGGAGGCTGAGGACAATGTCTTCTACTTCCTGCCAATGTCAGGTCCAGAGGGTCGGGGCCATGGTGTCTGGGTACCTGCAGGCAAGAGATAAAACTATCAGTCGTGGAGTTACACAGAGATCTCTGTGCATCATTTGACTTAAGATGACATCATCTGGGCCAGTGAGTGTCTCTTTGGTGCCTACAAGAGATGGGCACACACAGAGAGGGGGAGAGGAGAGGAGAGGAAGACAGAAGACAACTTCATGTATTTATGGATGACATCCACCTGCCATCCATTCATCTGTACTTGGGCACTTTCCATGAGCCCCAGAAGATGAAAACAGGTGACCACTGAGAGCAGTCTACAAGTTATGAATGCACTAGATTGGGGGCTCTATTATGAATGATTAGGAAGGACACAGCATCATCAAGATGCTGCAGGTCCGGGCAATGTTTCATACCACGATGCATAAAGTTGCCCGGAGTTAAGCTGACTGGACAACTACCAACAATAGAAGACACTCTAAACCCAAACCAAATGCACTGCCATCGAGTCGATGCTGCCCCATAGCGACCCGATAGGTCAGGGTCGAACTGCCCCTGTGGGTTTCTGAGACGGTAAAAGCCCCATCTTTCTTCTACTGGTGGCTCCAAACTGCCAACCTTGCAGATCACAGTCCAATGTGAAACCACTACACCACAAGAGTTCCTCTAAGACAGTGGCTCTCAACCTTCCTCGTGCCGTGACCCTGTCATACAGTTCCTCATGGGGTGGTGACCCCCCCAACCATAAAATTATTTTCCTTGCTACTTCATCACTGCCATTTTGCTACTGTGATGAATCGGGCGACCCCTGTGAAAGGGTTGTCCGACACCCAAGGGGCCACGACCCACAGGTTGAGAACCGCTGCTCTAAGGAAACCCCACCAAAGCCCTGATATAAGCTATGCAGATGGCAATGGAGCAAATGAAAAGATTATTGACAGGGAAACACAAGCTAAAAAAATAAAGTCTACCGAGTAAGCACAAACAGCAAAACCAGGATAGTGAGTTGATTCTGACACACGATGGCCCCATATGGGGTCTCCAAGACAGCCTCATCCTGCTCCCCTGAAGCAGCTGGTGGGCTTGAACTACTGACAGTAGGATTGGTTAGCAGGCCAACACCTAACCCACACTGCACGAACTTGAAAGACTACTCGAGAAACGGCTTACCACGCCAAGAGCTGGAGAGATGAGGGGTACCTGAAACCTTCACACACTGCTGGGGGGCGGTGTCAAATTTGTCCAGTCATCTTTGAAAATTGACAGATTCTTCAAATGACAACACACCACCCACCATATGACCCAATTATCCCACTCTCAGGTCATTCGCTAAAGGGGAAAGGAAAATCTCTGTTCATGTCCTCGGCCCATTTTGTTAATTGGGTTGTCTTTTACTTGTTCAGGTGCTTTCTAGAGAATGTTGAGCTCAGGCCTTTGTCTGATGTGCCTCTGTTAAAACCATTTTCCTAGTCTACGGACTGGGTGAAATCTTCGGACGTGCACACGAGTCTGCAGTTGTCAGGGGTCCCAGTCATCTACTTTGTCTTTTGCTGTTTGTGTATGTGCTTTTTGTTTTGCTTGATAATATATTTATGCCCCTGACACATTATCATCATATATTCCGGCCCCTCTGTCCCTTTTTTTAAAATGGATGATCTTTACAGTTCTAAGCGTTACATTTAGATCTTTGATCCATCTTGAGTTAAGAAACAGAACTGAAAACCTTAAAAGGCACCAGATGTACTGGTTACATGGGTGCTTTGACCCTCAGTCACCCTTCAGGTCTGAGCTCGCTGCAGTGTGGAAGAGGCCACCTTCTAAGGTTAGAAGGACAGCATCTACCCAGGGGCAAAGGTCAGGGGGCTGGGGAAGGAGGAGAGGTGGACACGGAGGGATAAGCGATGGTACACTGTGGGGACTGCGATGTGAAAACAAAATGCGTGTGAATTACCGAATAAAGAAGTGATCTCTATGAAGCTTCACCCCATTCACAAGGAGGTTTTGTAAGGCATTCCCACACAAAGGTTCATGCCTGACTATTCATAGCACCTTTATTTGTAAGATCCAAACTGGAGACAATCCAAATGTCCATCCACGGGAGAGCAGACAAACTGTTCTATCTCCACCTGATTGAATGCTGCTCAGCCACAAAACGGAGCGCGTGACTTGACACAGGCGGTAACAGAGATGAATCTCAAAATGACGATGCCGAGAAAGAGAAACCAGACAAAAGAAGAGGCACTGTGCGTTCTATTTCTACAAAATGCAAACTAATCTTTCGTGGCAGGAAACAGGTCAGCAGTTGCCTGAGAAAGGGGTGAGGTGGGGGATGGGTTACAAAGAAGCACGAGGGAACTTCCGGGGTGAAAAGGCTGCTCAGATCTTGACTGTGGAACTGGGCACGTGGCGATAATATTTGTGAAAATGCAGTGAATGGCCTACTTTATGTCCAGTTGGTTTGTAGATCAACCATACCCCCAATCAAGCTGTAAAAGACAAGTTCTTTCAACAGATCTTGCAATGATCCAGATGGCACTAGGATCCTCCCAAAATACACCATCTGGGCAATAAAGGGAAGCTTCCCAACTGGTGAGCCCCAGATGGATTGTAGGTGTGCCAACGTACTGATGCCCTCTGCCCCAAGGAAGCTGGGCAGGACCCAGAAGGGCGGGAGCCCACAGACCAGCTGCGTCCTTCCAGCTGCAGGCAGCTCCGCCCTTTACTCCAGAGCTGGGACGTTTTTCTGTGGAGAACAGGTCCTGAAAGGAGTGGAATAACTGGTTGGAAATCAGCTTAGCCTGGCCCGCGAGTTCACAACCCTGGCTGCACATGAAAAACACTGGGGAGATGTTAACCAGTGCGGGTGCCCAGCCCACATGCCCAACTCCGGGGCCCATGGGTCGCAAGAGTCAAGCCAGTTGACAGTCAGTTCTGACTCAGGGTGCCTCCGGTATCAGGCTGGACCTGTGTTCCGCGAGGTTCTCAATGGCTGGATCTTCAGAAGGAAGATCACCAAGATCACCAAGCCCTTCCTCCAAGGGGCCTCTGGATGGGTTCAAGCCTTCCACTCCCCGTGAGCAGTCGAGTGTTAGTTGTGTCACCTGTGGCAGGGCAAGATTAGCGGGGGAAATTGATTTTTAATCCC